AAAAAAAAAAAAAAAAAAGAATTGTGTAAGAATTGCTCATAATATCTGCATACTGACCTTCAAAATGACCAAAATCATCTGAATTGTGGAAGAAAAAGATTGGACACAGTGGCTCATACCTGTCATCCTAGCACTTTTGGAGGCCGAGGTGGGAGGATTGCTGGAGTTCAAGACCAGCCTGGGCAACATGGTGAAACCCCGTCTCTACCAAAAATAGAAAAAACCAGCTGGGCATGGTGGCATGTGCCTGTGGTCCCAGCTACTCAGGAGGCTGAGGTAGGAGGATCACTTGAGCCCAGGACAGAAGTTGCAGTGAGCTGAGATTGTGCCACTGTACTCCAGTCTGAGCAATAGAGTGAGACCTGGTCTAAAAAAATAAATGCATAAATAAATAAAAAAAAATAAGACTTGAACAGACACTTCACCAAAGATGTACAAATGACAAAAAAGCACACAAAAAGATGTTCAGTATCCTATGTCATTACAGAAATGCAGATTAAGGCAATGAGATAACACCACACACCTATGTGAATGGCCTAAATCCAGAACACGGACAGCACCAAATGCTGGGAAGGATGTGGAGCAATAGCAACTCCCAGTCACTGCTAGTGGGCATGCAAAATGATATAGTCACTTTGGAAGACCGTTTGGCAGTTTCTTACAAAGCTAAGTCATTTTACCATACAACTCAGAAATCTCACTCCTGAGTAACTGACTTGAAAACTTATGTCGACACAGAAACCTGTACGTGAGTGTTTATAGTAACTTTTTTCATAACCACTAAAAACTGGAAGCAACCAAGACCAAGATATCCTTCAAAACAGATGTACAAACCATGGTACATCCAAACAATGGAATTATTCAATAATAAAAAAGGAATAAATGTCAATAATATGACTAAAAGAAATAAATGTCAACAATATGATGACTAAAAGTCATATTACGTATTTAGTCATAATATGATGACTAAATGGTAAAAGGACATTGGGGAAAAAATTAGGAAAATCTGTATAAACTATGGACTTCAGTTAATAGCAATATATGATTGCCTTAGCAATTCTAAGAAATTTATCAAGCTAATATAAAATGTTAATAACAGGATGATGGGGCTCAGGACACACTACTGCAAAATATGGCACATTGGCATTTGAGAAAACGGCAGGAACTGAAAGGTCACACTCACCTTCCCTCCACCCTTCTCCCCGGAGCAAGCCATAAAATAGTGTCAGGAGAAAACACTCAAATTGTTTTTTTTTTCTGTTTCCACATCACAACAATTAACATAGAAGACTTTTGTGATTCCCAAATATGTATGGATTTCTCCCCGCCAGCAAGCAAGTGATTTTGCAGCAGACA